TAATAATAATAATAATAGTAATAAACCCTCTTACATAAAGAATGTCTCAGACAAGCAGAGCCCCAAGGCTCAGAGGTTTGGGGTAAAAAGTTTGCTTTCATGGTAGCCATTTAATTTATGTGGCACATGGCACCCCAATAAAACACAGCTCAAAAAACCAGTATTCAGCTTTAAACCAGAACATGATGGCTTCCCCACAGACTATACGTAGCAGCAAGAGGTCACTAGCCTCTGACTATGTTCTGTTACGCTGACACGTCCTCTTAATTTTGTGCCCAAAGCAGAACTGGAGCCACACTCAGGCAGTCAGGCTCAGTGTCACACTAAGCAGAAACATGAAAACGTGCCTGAGAATCCCACCATGGTTAAACCTTGAGGCAGAACCCCACTGAAAGCACCCTCTGGTTCTGGTGGGCTGGAAGCAGGTAGCTTGTTGAAGGAGCTGGATTTAATAGATGCATTTAAAACCTCTATCAGATTTGGGATCCAGGTTTCTGCTGTGAAAAGCACTGCCTTCGTCGTAGCTTTGCAGATGTCTGTGGCGGGCCATGCCATGCCATACGGCACGGTGCTGAGCCTAACGCGACCCGTGAACTCCAGAGCCTTGCAGACAAACCTAGGGATCTGCTACACGCAAAGCCCGCTCCATGTCTTATTTTGTTGCTCTCCATATGCCAACAGAAGTTCAGAAATGAAGAAGGGATTAAAATACCGCCAGGACATACACCATTAAAAACAAAAGTCCAATTTTCTCATCACATTTATTCCCCAAAGGTCTTCAATCCGAAGAGTCCGTCTCCCTCCTGCCAGGCTGTACAGCTGGTGGCAATGCAGAGCTGAGGGCAGCTGGAGGAGGCTCGACCGCTCGCACCAGCACCAATCCTGCCAGCTCAACTTCTCCTCCCACAACCCCGTGTGGCACACGAACACGTCTCTCTCCACACCATTCCTTCAGTGGAGCGAGCTAGTCTGATAAAGAGCCGACCCAAGGCCAAGTCTGACCCCCATCACTCTCCGCAAGAGCCCGCTCTGCAAACTGCTACCAGCTGTCGTGTGCGGGTCGCAGCTTCTCCGTACACACCAGTGGGAAGCCCAGCAGGCCAATACTGAAGGCACCTTAACACGGGACGAAGAAGCACCAGGGAGCACAGGCCAGAGAGGCCTGAGTTGCTAAGTTCATGTCAACTCCTGAGTAAGAGGGTTTAACTACTGTACTGGCAAGATGGAAATAAAACTGAATACAAGCATTTTGAGACCAAAAGGTTCATACATACTGCAGGCACGGTTTTGTTCACTAAACAGTTATTGTTGAGGAGGTCTTAAGGGCATTCTGGTCCTTGGGAATTCATGGAATTGTTAATGACATAGAGTGTTTGGTTAAAATAAATGTACTCATCTTCTGAGAGAGGAGTTAAAACAGGTCTAGAAGCAGTGAAGTTGCGCTGAAGAAGAAGCACAAAATTTTGACTGATTATCTTGAACCGAAAAGCTGCATTCTATGAGGACAGTGAGCAGAGGAAAACTCACTCACTTCTTCCTCTCACCCAAAAATTTACTCAATCCATAACACCCGTTCTCTGCAATTCTTTATCCCTTAAAATCGTATCCATAATTCACACAATATTCTGGGACATTATAAATGACCCATGGACAAAATTACAGAACTTAAAGTATTTTTTAATATTGTTTTACAAAAAAAAGTATTGGGGTTTTTTTTCCAGATTGAGAATTCACTGACCACATCTCAGCCGACAGTATTCAGACAAAAGAAAGAAACATACACCAGAGCTGCGGACATGAACCCTTTTATTAACAGACACTTCCCTTATTGCAAGACAACTTCAAAGAGCCAAGTAAACATTCAAAAATGTTGTACACACTAAAATCAGTTAAGGCTTTTTTCCAATTACCATTTTTTTGCCCAGCTTACTTCTGTGACAGTTTCTTGTTTTGCTCAAGAATAAAGATAATATTTAAATGCTTTTAGCATAACAAGTATCTAGTTCCAGAATAGATCAAGGACTATCATCAGTAGACATTTCACTTTCAAACTGGAGTAATAAAACTGTTAAGTACCAAGTAGCTCATTTCTGAGAAGTATGATGAGAAGAAAAGGTCCTTACAGTAAGAAACAGTCACAGATTCTTGTTTCTGTTCATGCTACGCTAAGAATTCAAGCCAGGTATTTGCTAGTTAGAAGCAAATCAATGCAATCCTCACTACTATTACCACATTTACACTGTTTGGGTTTTTTTGTTCAAACACAAACAGTGTATTTTATTGCTCCCAAAGTCCTATATGATTATTGCAAAGTCATGATTGATGGATCTGACATCTTTGGTTGGTCACTCTGAAGGTGGATTGGTACCTAGATACTTTCAGCAGTCTTCATAAAGGATTTCATCCACTTGGACATCATTTTCTGTCACAGGCACTGATTCACAAATCTGTTCCCTAAAAGCCAAGGCAATCGTGTAGTGCTTTCCACTGGGATGTTTCATACATCTTTCAAGATAGGTATCATAATATCCTTTCCCTCTTCCCAATCTGTTGCCTTTTTTGTCAAACCCAAGGCCTGGCATGAAGATAAGGTCAAGACCCCCTGCAGAAAAATGAAATAAACATTAGTGGATGCACTGTGGATTTCCTGATGGCTCAACTACACCCACATCACTTCAGACATTTGCAAAAACACAAGCTTTGTCTTTTGCAAAATGCTCCCTTCTCTTTGATCAGATGAAAAATACTTTGAATACTAAACCTGTAAATTTACATTTTCATCTTATCAACTGCATACTAGATCAGCTACAAATTAATTAGACCTTGAAAAGCTAGAAGGGAAAAAAAACCTACCTTATAACAAATTTATTTTACCATTTTAATCCCACAGTTCCAAATACTAATGATTATGACTCTAAATCCAGCAGAGATTGAATTTAGGGAAATTAGATGCAGGAAGAATCAGAAAACCAGATGAACTTCAGCATCAGATACAAAAACAGAAAAGGAAAGAAGAATGAATAGAAGATGCATAAGAGAGAAAGAGCATCTTCTTGACATGACTGCAGGAGGTCATGAACCTTCACTCCGCCTCCCAAAACCAAAGAACCTGGTATACAACATATTCTGAGAGTGGGCATTTGCCCTCTTGTATCAAGATCAAGATTTGAAGGCTTGTCTCTTCGTGAGGTCAGGCTCCTCTTCTCCCAAAGGACTTTCTTCCTCAGCCTCTAGCAATTTTTACTGTTGCTTCAGCAGCACACACAGGCATTCTGCTTGCCTGCCCTGAACATCCCTCCTTCTGGCTCCCTGAGACTCTTCCAACACTGCACTTGACTGGAAATCAGAATTGGCTTAAAAACTGAAACAAGCTGCATACGCTGCTAATCATGGACAAAACAGACCCGACAGACTGGTGAAACCCTGACAAAAGACCCCACCAACCAGCTCCAGGATAAGAAGGCGAGATTAGCTAAGGCCTTTTTAACTGCTTTGTTCATACCCTATGAAGGGATGTGGACCAGCACCGTGCCAGGTAGCCAGCGACAGTTTACAGTCAGCTGCCCACTTCAGGGGTCGATTCACATCACTGCCAGGTAGGCAAAGGAACCGGCTGCCAGGCCGAGTGCCCGCCAGGCGTGGAGGCAGCCCATGTGCAGATTCCCGTAACTTATCCAAGGCTTGTTCGTTGGGTTTGAGAAATCTTGCAAGGACATCCTCTAAACAAATGAGCTTGGCTGGCCTGGAATTGACTGCTGGACCCAGGAATATCCCATGTATGAGTTTCACATGGCAGAGAAAGTCTTTTGTTACTGGCTGCTGGAGCAGACACTTCAGGAGAGGAGGGCAAGAAGGATAGTGGAAAGCCAGCGCAGGACTAAAGCACAGCTGACACGAGTCTGGGAAGAAAGCAAATGCTGTGTCTCCATCCACTGCTTCTTCCTTCTTACAGGAACCGTACTTAGCCTTACTCTGCTCCTCCTATGTCCTCCTCTCTCCTGATGCTTTGGATTGAGCTGCTCTCACTACATCTAGCTGAGGAATTCAGCATTCAAGGAGATGGGTGGGAGCACACACTGGAGGAGCCAGGGCTAAGCAGAGTTTTTCAGTTTCCAAGGAATCCCATCTGAGACCACATATCGACTCCGAACTCACCCTGGAAGTGCATGTTAAAAGTCCATATAACACCAACTCATATGCACACACTTCCCAGGCTCCCGGAGATTTCCTTCCACTGTTCATCCTCCAGAGGAGTCACTGACTTGAACACTCATCCATCATTACCTGATGACTTAATTAGAACATTGACATAAAATATGCAAGGCAACACAGTGTGAAATGCTTAGAGAAGATCAGTCTTGCAAATCTGGCGTCATACAGTTAAGCAGCATGTTTTTCATGGTCAGGGTAGTAAGAGGAGGGAATTAGCCAAAGGGCAAACCACAGAATACAACTGGTTGAAATAAAAAGGAGTCTGAGTGTTTTACCACCTTTACCACTTTTGACTCATAGGACAGACAAATGGCAAACAAAGGAGAAAAGAGGCATGAGTGTGGAACTATGGCCCCATCTGAAAAGAGATGCATCATGTTGGACGTACCACACCACATCTCCCCAGTCTGCAAGTAAAAATACATATTTTTATACACCCCATCAGGCCAACTGTCAGGCCTATGGACTAGGACCTAGAAACTGGCTGATCTTCTCCCTGTTAGCACAGGCAGCAATAGATTCCGCAGGTCAAATCCTCCCTGAGCTACCACTGTCCTCACTACTCATCCTCTCCATGATCTGCCTCACATTGGCTTCGCATAGGTATTCGGGTGGCCCCAAAACCGATATGGACCAAACACCAACGATGCACAGAAAAGAAACACACTCCGTGTTACACGCTTTTAGCTGTTTTCACTTCGTGTGACTCTGCTGGCACAAAGCAGGAAACATTTGCAGCTGCTAGTGCTGGCAGGTAAAAATGCACACAAGGGGCAAATCTGGAGAGTGAAATGTGCCATTTCTCCTTATATCTGTATCACAGACAGGAAGAAGACAAGCACTTGGGGAACTGCAGACAAGCACAAAGAGGGAATTGGCAGGAATGGTGCAGGGAAGAAAGGTATTTTCTACGTAGTTTAACTGACAGCATAGGGCACACTCGAGTGAAATTCAATGTATTAAAGCACAGTGTTTTCTTCTGAGTACTCTGGAGAAACAGAATCTGTTTTAATCAATCAGCTCCTCTATAATCATGGATTTTTTATGCTGAATAACTCAAGCTTGTGCAAATCTCAGTATGAAAAATGCAGCTGTAAATACTATAACAGTTACCCTTATATTTTCCTTGCACTGGAGCACTGTGCTACTGAACACCTTTGCTCTGGCTTCACAACATGCTGACTGATATCTATGCAACTCACACCCTACAAGATTTAAGTAAAATGCCCAGCAAGATTTTTGGTAGAAAAATGACACAGCTACCCTGCAAGGAGCCCGAGGGCAGTTCAAGCTGCATTAGCCCGAAATCCTACCCTGGGAGCTAGAATGAATGGCAGAGCTGCATGGAGAAAATGCTTCCCCACTGCATAACTTGGGGAGCAACAAAACCTCTTGTGGTGCCTGCGGCAGCGAGGGGGAAGAGCTGTGACAGGATGAGAGGTGACACACAGATGAGACCAAGATTGCAGACAGAGATGAGACCAAGATTGCAGACATGTAAGATTACTATCAGCGTTGAGCACACATCAACAGGATGGCAGATGAGTGCAAGAACATCTTCCCCTCACGCTCCTCAGCCCTTCCAGCCCTACAGAACCATGCTTGCCACCGAGGGTGCCCCAAGGCTTGCTCCATTCTCAAATCCCACTCCCCTTGCTCCCACAGACCGCTGTGTGAAATGGCATCCTTGTTCCCAAGAAGACAGAGCGGGTACTTGGGCATCAAACACCCAATCAGTTTTTAGTGCCTTGTAAACATGCTGAGAGGTCTAGCGTTCGCCACCTACTTCTCCCCCTCTCTTTGTAATGTCCATGCCTCCCCATGAGCCCATCACCGTTAACTGGTGGTTCTTGGATCGCCAAGGGTCCTGTGACTACATGCCAGGACCCACAGTCAAGAGCCTTTTGCTATAGGCAATCCATGTTTTTCCTTGAATACTTGCATGTGGTCTGCAAATTGCTAAAGGCTGAAAACACTGTCATAGAATCATAGAATCACAGAATGGTTTGGGTGAGAAGGGACCTTAAAGACCATCTAGTTCCTCCCCCCCTGCCATGGGCAGGGACAACTTCCACTAGACCAGGTTGCTCCAAGCCTCATCCAGCCTGGCCTTGAACAGTTCCAGGGATGGGGCATCCACAGCTTCTCTGGGCAACCTGTCCCAGTTCCTCACCACCCTCTCCGGGAAGAACTTCTTCCTGATGTTCAATCTAAATCTCCCCACTTTCAATTTAAACCCGTTACCCCTTGTCCTGTCACTACAGGCCCTTGTAAAAAGTCCCCCCCAGCTTCCTTGTAGCCCCTTCAGGTACTGGAAAGTGCTATAAGGTCTCCCCGGAACCTTCCCTTCTCCAGGATGAACAAGCCCAGCTGTCTCACCCTGCCCCCATAGCAGAGGTGCTCCAGCCCTCTGTTCATCTTCGTGGCCTCCTCTGGACTTGCTCCAACCAGTCTATATCCTTCTGATGTTGGGGGCTCCACAGCTGGATGCAGAACTCCTGGGGGGGTCTCTTGAGAGCAGAGTAGAGGGGGAGAATCACCACCCTCGAGCTGCTGGAAACAGGTCAACTGTTGTCAAGCAACAATGTATTGCTCCAGCTTCTACATAAAAATTATCAATGATCCTTACACACTTTAATGAAGCTCCTGCGTATCCCAGTAAGGTTGGCAATTATAATGACAGTCACCTCATATTCGCTGTATCTATGACATGAGTTCTTGTGGCCACAGCTCCTTCAACTGTGTAGCACCATGTGTGAAATAATACACCCTGACTTACCTATCACTATGCATACAGCTGTGCTGACACAGCTGCACAGGTTTCATGTATACTGCTAAATACAGCAGGGCCAGAAAACGAATCAATTTACAGGATCCCGGGTGGTCAATACTGTTTAATTGTCAGCACACTGCCTGGCACTGCTGGTCCAGGTGACACCCATGCCTGGTCCAGGGACAGGATTCCATGGTCAGGAAAACCAGAAAAGTACAGGTCTGGCTCCTTCCACCCTGTGCTGTCCTCCTACACCAACAAAACTGGTTTTGCTCCTCCAGACATAGACACAGGCTTTCCTGCCATGTGCCAGATTACACAACACAGACTGATACTACAAAAATATTGCTGTGATGGTCTGCCATAAAGCTTCACATTATTAAGGATACTGTGAACTGGGGAAAAGATAAAAAAAACCCAGTATCATCTCAGGGCCACAGGCGCGTCATGTGAGACCAAAACAGAAAAGACAAGTTCTGTGCAGTGTGCACAGGACTAGTTAGTGCCACTCAGCCCTGTGTTATTTAGCAGTGTAGACAGAGTCACGGCTTCAGAACCTGCCATGTGGGTGTACAGGCGTGCTCTGTCTGCACTGACTTGCTTACATCTACAGAGAC